CCTTTATAATAAATTAATTATTCCCTATTTTGCCTTTGCTTTATTTATCTCCGCGACAATGTAATATCTTAGCGTTTTGAATTTTAACATTTTATAGTTATTTTGATTTTTCAAACCAGTAGTTAAAACGTAGTTATGTAGATATGAATTTAATATTTACCTTGTTAGAGATATATTTTATGTCTATTTATATGTTACATATGTAATTATATTGAAGATATTGTATTAAAAAATTCTTAAAGATTGAATTACTATTCAAATATTTGAGATTTAAGAGTAAATATTTTCCAAACAGTTAAACTTTTCAATTTGTTCTTTTTATATAAATTTAAAACGACTATGTATATAATAAAATGTTCGAATAAATATATCGAAATTTTATATTTATGTAAAGTGAACTTATATATTTACAATATAACATAAATACACACATAAAAAAATGTGATAAAATATAACTATTAAATGTTTGAAAATTCGAACAAAAATGTTATTGATGAAAAAAAAAAAGGATAACAATAAATATTTGGACAATTTATTTTAAACAGGCGTTGTGCTCGTAGAGAAAAGGGGGGAAAAAACCTTCTGATAAAAAATGGTCGAAGAGAAGTTTTGGTAAAACGTCCTGAAGTTGGATAATTGAATGGAGCTTGGACCATTCCCAAATGGTGAATCACTCCCTGCAAACAATCTTTCAAATCCCATGTCAATGTTTGCTGTTTTGGGAACTAACTTTGTTTTACTTCCCTCATACCAAATTCGCAAAGTTTGTGCTATCATAACCATATTTTATATATATTCAATCAATAGACAGTCTGAAGAAAGATCCTCTCAAGGGAATAGATTGAAAAACTTTTATTCTTTGTATAATCTCGAACTATCTTTATATTACGCCAATTTAACATTTTTTTATTATTCTGTAGATTTATTTCTTTCATGGAGAAAAATCATCCAACTTTGGTTAAGTTTTCAAATAAATATTTATTCAACATATCTTTTGCAATTATTATTTACAGTGAATTCATTGATAATAGACAAATAAACGATATATATATTGATAAAAGTTTCTTTAATAAAGAATAATCGTAATATCTTTGAAGATGAATTATTCTCTTACAGGTACTGATAGAAAATAAGCGCCAAATTGTAAGAATATATCTTATTAAAAGAAAAATTAATAGATCGTTTATTGTTTTTCTGGTAAATCTATTTTTGAAATCAACACATTATCAAACGATCACAAGATTTTCAGCTTGAAAAAAACTTTATCACTTTGAAAGCTAAAATACCTTGGTATAAAACGAAGTGCAAGACCAAGAACTGATGTGATTGAAGTCATCAGTAAATTAGCAAACTTATCTATAGAGGAAATTATGAAAAATTTACACTGACTTATTTGATAAGAAATATTTAACAACAATGATTGTTGACAACAATGATGAGTAATAATGTAAACCATAAGTTTGATGTGATATCATATTTCACCTAGCTGAATCTATATACATTAATGGACAAAACCTAAGGGAGTGTGTGGAAAGTCTTTCATGTCGCCGGTTATCTGCTTTTCTTTTTTAAGGAGACAAAGGCAATTTTGTTCACACTTGGCTACCTCGTGTGTCTTCAATAAAGGTCACTGCCATATCTTTCAGAGTTATTTTCTGAATCTCGATATACATGCTATAAGCTACAACTTCCTTAATCTAAGTTTTGTCCATGAGTGTAGGTCACAACTTTAATGCTTAGACCATATAGAAATTGATACCTAATTGAAATTTGATGGCGATAAATTCAACTGTAAACAAGGAAAAATTCATTCAGGTAACTATTCTAAAATATTTTTGAAATTTTAAAAGCCTTGAATAAATATTTACTTTTTAGAATACTTGTATAAACCATCCAAAATATTTATAATAGTAAAATCAGATTTTGTCCCAACAATATTTTATGATTTGTGTGCCTAGATGGTATTTGGTGAAAATGGTCAAAAATGAATTTCTACCGTCGGTATTCAACTACAATACTTTTAAGTTGGTACTAATATGACCTATATTTCTAGGTATATTTGTATAAATATATAAAAAATAGAATTTATTTATATTTAAAGTGTTAAATAAATATTTATGTTTTTCGAAGTATAGTACAATATGGAATTTTACTGAGATCAGGTAGCTTAATTAAGTAAATTGTTTTTTTCTGATAGGGAAACAAAGTTATTCTAAAATTGATTTAAAAAAAAATTAACAAGACGTATATTTTTCTTCAAATTATACTTCGGCCAGTAAATCTTTTTTATTGTCTCGACGTTTCGACAAAATATTATTATTGTGAAAACCAAGATATAGATCAACAACTCTTTTCAAATGGTTTAACTATATCAAATGAGTAAATTCAAACAATTTCTCCAATTAACATTGTTAACCCAGTAGAAGTTTATCGTTGCTCGAAATCTTGTTTTTTTAACGATATAAAGATATGTATTGTTAATTTTCTTTAATCCATTTTAGAATAATCCTTCAACAATATTGTTCAATATCTGAAAGATACTTACGGCTTTTCAAATTCTAAAATTATAATATGAAATTTGTGTAAGTAAACAATAAACAGGTGTTAAAACCTCTATAATCCTTTAGTAGAAATTCCTAAAGTTTGAATAAATATACAATGATAAAACACTCACTATATATATGTTATATTAAAATATTATTTTATTTAAAATTATATTTCAATAGATTCAAATACTCTGCTAAATCGACCGTCAGAGGTCATGCCTCCTATATAAAAACTCATTGTTGTTGTTTCCCGATGGCCGGCTCAAACCTTTTGTACATTATGTAAATAAGTTTTTCATTTTTTTATTCTTACGCCTTAAGCCAGGCAGTACTTTTATCAAATTATGTTTTTATATATTCCATAAGCTAATTAAAGCATTTACTGACCAAAACTATTTTTATTATTTTATTTTTAAGATTTTAACCACGACTGCATTACCATAGCATCAAACTCAAGATATTCAAAATTCATAAGAAAATATCATTTTTATATTATAATATATACGTATATATAAATACAAGGTTGTCTCAAAAGTTCGTGAACTTATCATGTAAGATATATTGTATATGTGTTTACGGATCTTTGGCACAACCTTATATATAGAAGAAACAGGCTTTAAGATCCCATATACAGTCCAACAACTGGCTAAAGTAACACATGACATCTGTGATGAATGACTCGCCCTTTCAAAAAAAGGTTATCAATCATATTAATTTTGTGATGGAGCGAAATTCCTTATTGCTTGTTGATGGCACTCTAAAACACTTCACATCTTGTTATTTCTTTTACGAATCACGATACGTGTTTTACTCTTTATATCGGATTTTTACTGACAAAATGGTAGTACGTTTTGATATAGTCTTTAAGTTTGACTCAGATTCTTATGAAATTGTCTTATACACTATTAGCATATAGAATGTGGCAGTTGTTCATTTTATTCTTTTAGAGATCAATAAAAAGGTATCCCTTTCATAAATTATTTGGTGGAGGGGATAATAATCTATATTCCATTTATAAAATACTTGATGCTATTCTAATCATAAGCAAAATATATTTTTAAAGGAAAGTTTTATTGCATATATATATATGTGAAAAAACAATAAAAATATAAAATATGAACTAGGTCAGGTGTTGATATTAAAAACAAAGAGGCATATCTTGATCATATCCTGATGGCGCTCTGCCATCTAGAAAAACTCATGTGAGCCTGGTCAGAATATGCCTCTTTTGTTTTTAATATATATATATATATATGTTATATTATAAATAAGATATTTCAGTGTAATAAAAAGATCTTCTGTTGATTTTTGATTATCTTGAGGATTATGCTATAATAATTGCAGTCGTGGTTGATAATCTTGAAAAAATAATAATAAAAATGGTTTTGATCAGTAATTGATTTAATTGGACTAAGGAATATATAAAAGAACATAATTTGATAAAAGTAATGCCTGGCTTAAGGCGTAAGAATAATAAAAAAGAAAAACTTATTTACATAATGTACAAAAGGTTGAGCCGGCCAGCGGGGAACAACAACAACGGGTTATATAAAGGAAAAAAGCGAGACCTCTGGTGGTCGATTTAACAGAGTATTTGAATCGATGATATATAATTTTAAATAAAATAGTATTTTAATATAAGATACATAAAAATATATATTCAAGTATATACTTGTATATGCAATAAAAATGCTTATAAAAACTTTATATGAATATATTAAGATTCAATAATGTGTTATGTATACATAAAGCGGCCTTCTATTTACATATTGATTTGATGTATGATAGACAACTTGCGACAGAAAAGATGTTGATACTGCTAGATTCCAATAAAAGATACAAAGAGACGTTGTCCAATTTCCATTGTCTCCAATATCCCAGAAGATAATCTATTCGCCCTTCGAAGGAATCGTCTAAACCTAACCCTGACCTCACAGAGTGCGATCAAGGGATTTGTCAGTGAGCGGATTTATTTGCTCCAAATATTTGCATCGAGAAATCGACGTATTCTTGGAAAATCCGTTTGGATAAAATCTCTCAACACTTCAGAATTTATTTCTATGCTTACAAAGAAATATGTTGAATTTAAGATACTACCTCTATCTATTTGTTTACAAATATAAGGATAATCACAAGTTAAATATTAGATAGAATATACAATCTGACTAATGACATGAATATACTTAATTCATTAATTATTACACAATGACATTGAAGAATTAAGAAATGCAGCTATATATATTGTAAAGTAATTAAATAGATAAATAAAACTTATCAATAAGATAAAATACTTTATTTATAAGTCTAAAGATCAAAATCCAAAAAAAAAAAAACGATCAACACATTGATTTACAAATGCAAAGAAATATTCTAGATGTTTTTAAATCATCATTAAGAACAACAGATTATTAAAAATGAATAATTCAGTGATAAAAATAAATTAAAGGCTGAATTTCCCGCGTGGTCTAGTGAATGGATATCTGGCTTTCCTTCAGAAGACCTGGGTTTGATTCCCGGCGTGTGAATCTTTTATCCAGGCCCCTCCAACAATTCAATGTACATAGTGCTTTGTATATATTCCGCTTTATTCGTCCATCGAGGCTCAAAAATCATCCATTATTGTTAGCAGCCCCGAAAATAAAGATATTTCTAAATGATACAATATTACCATTTTCAGTTATAAAAAGGTTGATAAATAATATTTATTCACACAGGCACAAGTAACTATATTTGTTTTAAATCAATGTTAACAATTATATTTATAGGATAGAGAGAATCAATGTTTTGGTCTCGTCAATGATTTTCTAATCATAAATTTGCCACAATCAGCAATAAGAAGAAAAACAACTTAGTAATATTTTGTTTCATAGTAGAACTTGAAACTCTTCCGGTGTGCAACTTAAGAATAAACGTATCATTAAACGGAAGATAAGGATCTTTTATTTGGAAACGTTACGAGCTTTCGGGCAAACGCCCTTCTACAGGTTTGACGTCAAACCTGTAGAAGGGCGTTTGCCCGAAAGCTCGTAACGTTTCCAAATAAAAGATCCTTATCTTCCGTTTAATGATACGTTTATTCTTATTTTGTTTCATATCAATATATTTTTGAAAATAGAGCAATCCATAAATAAATCTTTAATTAAAAAGGCATATATTGGATCAAAATATCATTTATTTTACTAATGTTTCAGTTGACTGAACGCCAACCTTTATCAAGGTATTATAACATTGATGTGTGTCAACAACAAAGTCAGCGCCATATAACGTCAACAGAATTAAGTTTTAAAAATATTTTGTTATATCAAATTTTTGTTATATCAAATTTTTGTTATATCAAATTTTTCTCCACATTGATTATAACAAAATATTTTTAAAACTTAATTCTGTTGACGTTATGTGGCGCTGAGTTTGTTGTTGACACACATGAATATGTTATAATACCTTGATAAAGGTTGGCGTTCAGCCAACTGAAATATTAGTAAAATAAATGTTATTTTGTTCCAATATATGTCTTTTTAATTAGATATTAATATCTATGTTTGTAAATAAAGAGGAGATGCATGTCACTAATGCAAAGAATAGAACTATAATTACACACATTCAAATAGATAAAAATATTCAAAATAAATTTTGAAAATTCTTCTCTCTCTGTTGCAAGTATTATTTTTATTAATATATTTAAGGACGATCTTTTTAATATTCTTTTAGAAATAAAAAATGTAAGAATAATCGGGCTAAACAGTTTCATTATGATAAAACTTTATATATTCATCAATAAAACATATTATTCAGCGTCTATTTGAAATATATTCTATTGATTGCCCATTTTTCGTCATTTACCTCATCAATTGATGCACCAATCGATGAAGCTAGGGAGAATATGGTGGAAATAATTGACTTATTATTGTAATATCCAAACAGATTAAGGTCTCACTCTTTACTATGATTTTCATAAACCAGTATTTTATATTTTATTAAACCTATTTTATTAGTCATCAGCATTTCTTGCGCATTACCGTAAGATATACACATTTCATATTTTGCTATAACTGACATGCATAGATGTTTCAAATTAATGTATACTGGCAGAATAACCCTAGCTCTGTTAGAGTCTATGTTAGATTAATATTGTTTTTTTTTTTATGTTAATTATTATTATTATATTATTATTCTAAATATAATCAGTCGTGATGGTAGAATTACTTCAGAATTATAATAAACATAATTTTTATGATTTTAATATATTCAAATTAGGTTGTAAACATAAGACGCCTTCTTATAAAAAGAACGCTTTCCTTGAATAAACAGCTTGTCATGAAATTGTTGTTCAGGCACACATGAGAGCTCATTGGAGAGATGAATAGCTGTCATTTAATTGTGAAATTTAGCATTTAGTGTCAAATATGGTCATATTGGGTCGTTGCTGATATTTTTCGGCCTTATTATTTTCTTCTGGCGGAAGTATGGGTTTTACTGAATTATTTGCAGAGCAGGCAGATATTTCTGTTGTCATTTGACAATTTCAATCTGAGAATTGTCTTGTTTCTACCAGCTCAATAGATCTCATCAATGAATCATGAGATAAACGATTAGGTTAGATAGTTTAGATATGCTAAAAGAATGAGAGCCTTTATATAGAAAGAAATATATATTTGCATATATTTATGCCAATATATCAAATTACTATAAAATAATAAGTATATTTCAGTAATATTCGCATATTTTTTCCAATATTTTGTTAGAGGGGGGGGGTCAATAAATGAAATATATTTTTTGAACAAATATTTGTCACTCAAATTTGGGAACCTGTATATTTCATTTCTTTATTTTTTTGGTGTTGGATAGAGGACAATCAATTATCAATTATTCGTTTTAATTGTGCTGATATATATAATAAAGATAAAAATACCTGATTTGAGGCGTAAAGAAGAAAATAAAATATTACATATTTACATATGTACAAAAAGATTTAAGCCGGCCAACGGGAAACAACAACAATGTGTTTATATAGGGAAATCCGCTACATCTAGCGGTCGAATTAACGGAGTATTTTATTCTAGAAATGATAATTTTAAATTTGATATTTTTTATATAACATTTATATATCTTTATCATTCATTATATATAAAATAGAGTTATATAAGTGATATAACAAGAGTTACTCATCGAAAGAATGGATTAGCTATCTATATATTGCACCAACAAATAAAAATGTGCCTAGATTATGTTCCGATGTCCCCTGGGCTGGATGATTATCGAAGATTGATGTGGCACCGATTGAATTTAAGATGCGCCAGGTGTCCTCGAGGGATCGTCTGCATCGAAATTTAAATCTCTGATAGAACGCACTTTATAATGACCTTTTTTGAAATAAAAAAAAAACTTATTTTCAATAAAAATTTGAAATATCTTAATTAAAATATAAATAAAAACACCATTTTTAAAATCTTAAATCTTCATTATATGCATGTAAATATATAAAAATTTCTATTAAAATGTCATCCATTTTATTTTAGATATTTATGTAATATGTAAATACTTTATATATAAAAATTTATATTAAAATGTCAACGTAATTATTTTTTATATTAATCTATGAAATAATTGAAAAAAATCTAAGCATAAATTTGAAGTAAATTAAAAAATAAAATGCAGTAGTTTTTCATTTTATGTAAATATGCGTATTTTAGTTGATATTTAATTTATATGGATATTTTGAAAAGTGTTTAAAAATATATATACAAATTATTAAAATATACATCTTTACTGTCCGCTATACTTAATCTTTATTGACTCGACTATTTTGTGTTAGCACATATTAATAAATATAAAAAATAAAATATTTACACACATCTTTAATTTCATGTTAATTATTTATTCTTGTAAATATATATATAGATGGAAATTTTGCCGGGAGGAAATTGATCTAAAGAGACAAGGGTCGCCTCTCCCGTCAAAACACGTCACCAACCCGAGGCCGCTAGTTGCGGCGACGGTCAATAGATGGCGTCTGGTTTTAGAGTCTGTTTTGACGGGAGAGGCACCCTTGTCTCTTTAGATATATATAATTAAAAAAAGATCAGCTTTATTCAATAAAACATAAAGGTATTTTGGTAGTGTGATATCTTAATTGGCAAATACCTTTAATCTTATTTCTTCGCCACAATATGATATAATATTTAACTATATCTAAACATGATAAGACAAACTTCTAAAATTAATTAATATATATGTTAATATATAGCCTTTGTAAATAAACTATTGTTCTCTATTAGTTTTCGTGAATTATTATTTGCAGATAAAAATTTGTTTTCAATATATTATTTATATAAGCGAGTTCACAAAATATATAAAAACACTTATTAACATTAAATATATCTTTAATAAAATCAAAAAGGTATATTCAACAAAGAAAGATAATTGGAGATATATTTATCTGGCACTATAAATCCATGATGATATTTATTTAAGGAAAAACTCATTAAAATCTTTTTAATTAAAAAAAAAGAACAGCTTTATTTAATAAAACATAAAGGTATTTTGGTAATGTGATATCTTAATTCGCAAATACCTTTTATCTTACTGTTAAATTTGTTTTCACTGATAGAAAATCAAAGAAAAGTCGATGAGGAATTTCAATAAAAAACAGAATTCCACACAACTACATGCCTCAAGTATTTGTGAAAGGAAACCAATAAAACTATCAAATTCTAAACCAAACGAGAATACTTACAAGAATCTTCTGATTAAAAGAGACAATAATTAATTTAGACATAAAACAATCAAATTATAAAATCGATAGCTTTTTCAAATTTGTAATTAATAGATTAAAAAAAATCTATTCTCTAAATTTGTTCATTAATTAAGCACGTTTGTGTGTAGCATTGTTTTATAGATTGAGAATGTGCAATTTTAATTAAGTTAAAAATGAGAAAATAACTAGAAATTGTAGGATTAAAGTTCAATTTTTTTATTTATACTCTTATTAAAGAAATTAGGTTTTTTAATAGATATTATTATATTATTATAGATATATTCGTGGATGGCTTTTCTTGATTTATCAAGAAATTGAGTTGGCCAAATATCAGGGAACAGGCTAAATCAATGTTTAGTTGATTTCGGTCCCACCAGATGGCGTTCTGCCTTCTGTAAAGCACATGTGCTCCTGGTCAGGATATTCCATTTTTAATATATATCAAAAATAAAAAATGGCATATCCTGACCAGGAGCACATGTGCTTTACAAAAGGCAGAACGCCATCTGGTGGAACAGAAATCAACTAAACATTGATTTAGCCTGTTCCCTGATATTTGGCCAACTCAATTTCTTGATAAATCAAGAAAAGCCATCCACGAAAGCGTTTCGCGCTTTTGGCGCTCGTCAGCGTGGATTAGGCTGAACCACTGCGACCAAAAAATATTTTTTGGTCCCAATGGCTTCCCGAAAAACCAAGAAATGGGTATTTAAGGCCGAACTTGCGTAAATACGCTTAGCACATTAAAAAAACGAAAGAAAAAATAAAAGA